CTTCCCTGCGGCCCCCCCTCCCACCACTGCCATCCGGCAGGCCAGGCTATCCCTACCCCCATGTCTTTCCTCCATTCCTACACCCCCATCCTTCCCTAACCCCTTCCCCTCCACACTGCCCATCCCCCTGCCTCCATTCCTATATTCTCCTCACCTCCCCCATTCTCCCTTATCGCACTTCCCATCCCCACATACACCTTATCCCCCTTCCTTCCTCTCTATGCACACCCTGCCACCTCCCACAAATTCACTGAGGTGCATGCCCCTCCACCCAGAAGCACTACCCGCCAGGCAGCACAGCCATGGCCATCTCAGCAGCAGCCACAGCCTGTCCCCAGCCCGGCCTTTCTATACAGGGCAGCTTTGCTTCATGGTGAACCTAGGGAGCCTGCTGTGCAGAGCGGCTGCTCTGGAGAGTTGGGGAGAGTTGGGGAAGTTGCCACGGTGCAAGACCTCCCCAGCTCAGTGCTCCCTGTTGGGCACTACTTTCAATTTCAGCTGCTGCAACCACGCCAGGAATCCCTGCTCCCCTCATGGTCCATGGCTGCACTGTGTGGCCTTCGCTGGCTCCAGGTTCCTGCATCCCTGCCTGCCCGCTCCCTCCCCACTGGCCGCTGCTCCAGCTAGTGGGCGAAGCGGGCACCAAGCAGGGGCCGGTGAGGTGGCAGGAGGCAGCGCCACCTCACTTGTTGTGGTGCATGGTGAGAGGCCCGGCTGCTCAGACAAGGCAATTAGTAACTGAGATATGGAGTTTTTTGCCTCTACATTGTGTATGAGAGTGAGAGCGGCTACTATCTGATCTGCTACTTGTAGAAATTAGTAGGTGTGAACATTACCTGGGTTTGAGAGGTATGTGAAGTCTAGGGATGCAAGAGCTTAACCAGTTACTGGGTTAACCGATCAGTTAATGCTTGTTGGTTACTGGCACCAGTTAAATTTTTCATAGGGCTTTCGGGAGCCATGGCAGCCATGCGGAGACCTGCAGTTAACCATGTAACCAATAGATTTTTTTCTATTGGTTACGTAGTTAATTTTTTTTTAACATCCCTAGTATGTTCTGAAACAGATGCACTCCATTCCTACATTAGTGGCTTTTTATCAGAGATGTATGAAAATTAACATGGCTAACACACATCCCCCTCATAGGGCTTTCGGGAGCCATGGCAGCCATGCGGAGACCTGCAGTTAACCATGTAACCAATAGATTTTTTTCTATTGGTTACGTAGTTAATTTTTTTTTAACATCCCTAGTATGTTCTGAAACAGATGCACTCCATTCCTACATTAGTGGCTTTTTATCAGAGATGTATGAAAATTAACATGGCTAACACACATCCCCCCCCCCCCCCCAGCCTCACTGGGCAGTGTGTAGTAATAGGGAGTTAGTTAATGGTAGCACAACTCCTTTTTAAAAAAACAGACTAAAGAAATTATTCCAGTGTTGATTTGCAGAGGGATAGTTCTGTCCCACCTCTTCCACAAGACACAAGCCTGTAAACCATATCACTTGATGGGGCTTCTGTGCAAAATGTTATAGGATCTGGATTTTAAAAGTTTATAGCTCCAGAGAAATTCTTTTTGGAGAAAATCAAAGTGCAAATGCTTCACTTACTACCAAAATTGGGGTCAAAAGAATTAGTTGAAGATAACTTCTCAACTGTAGTCTCTTTAAAATTGTCAGATTTTTTTGTGTGGAAAAACAGACTTAACACAAACCCATGACTAATATGAAAGAGAAGTGAATAAAAATATCCCAAAATAATTATCTGCCATAAGGTGGGCTTGCTACTGATTCTGATGAACAACCCTGAAGTATTTTTTTAAAAAGAAGGGATTTTATTTAAAACATGCCTTGTTAGCATGTTTTGCTGAGAAACCTAAGTATAGGCCTTAGCAGACCTGACAGGTACACAAGTGTGTAACTTGTGGCAAGCTAATAATATTCTGTGGCTTTTCTTGAGGGCTGTCAGGCTAAGGCAATTAGTAACTGAGATATGGAGTTTTTTGCCTCTACATTGTTGATTTGCCTCCAAGGCAGAGTTGTAATGACTGAAAGCTGTTCTAGCCAATACAGGTGTTCAGTAGCTTGTATGAGAAGTTGATGATCTTGGACAAGTGCTTAGTGAACAAATGTCTAGAAAATACCTCCCCTGTTTGTTTTGGATTTTTTTTAAAGTGTGGGGGTGGGGTGGAGGGATGTTGGCAACCATAGTACGGAAGCCAAGGAGTACTAAGCAGGCAACTTGCTGGAATCACAGGATCCTTAATTTTAAACATGCTGGTGGTTTTAAATATTGGAGAAGGGTCCCTTCAATATATAAAATATTGTCTGTCAGTGGTGTTTTGAATGAGGTACTGTAAGTGGGGGAAAAATCACAGGATGCTACCAGTTAAGGGACAGAAGAATTCTTAACTGTGAATAAGTAGCATGCTGAGGTGTGGGGGGGCAGGGCATGCGTGAAACCAGTATATTGCATTTGCATAGGAAGACCTTCCTCTCCCCCTCCCCCTTTGCTGAGTGATAGTTTACCTCGAAGAGAATAGCTTGCTGTGCTTTTTTTCCTGCATTATGTATCTTCATGTCACAGTAACTGAAGATACCAATTGCTTTCCCTCTCCTTCAACCATTAGGCTTCAGCTTAGCACAAAAGCCATTTGGAGCAACATATGTATGGAGCAGCATTATCAATGCACTTCAGACGCAAGTGGAAGTGAAAAAGCGGAGACACAACCTGAAATGCTATAACAACTGTTTTATTGGCTCTGATGCGGTGGATGTCATCTTTGCTCACCTCCTCCAGAACAAGTATTTTGGGGATGTAGATATTTCCCGTGCTAAAGTAGTGCGAGTGTGTCAAGCACTGATGGATTATAAAGTGTTTGAGGCTGTTTCAACTAGAGTCTTTGGAAAAGACAAACGGTCTGTGTTCGAAGATAGTAGTTGCAGCCTCTATAGATTGACAAATGTACCGAGCTCAGAAGGCAGTCCGTTTGAAAAAGAATATGGGTATTGTACCCATCACAGGTAAGTACTCAGGGGTATGTGAAGATAAGATGCTGTGCTATGGGGAAATACTGCTATTTTGGGGGGGGTTGCTTGTTCAGTTTTTCTAGAAAGGCATCCCACGTACCTTCCATCCACGACACTAGTACAATATGAGTGACAGCTAGCTTCTGGGGGGCAGGGGGGACGGGGCACGGTATATTTTCAAATGAGAAAGTAGGTCAGTCTCCACGTCAATTCAGCCCTTGCTTCCTCTAGCCAAGAAGGCATAAAGGACTGAAAGCTAGTTGTGTGGAAGAGGAGATAGATAGATAGAAGTTGTCAGGCTCTTCTAAAGGGGGCTGCTGATCACTAATCACAGGGAGTTCTATTCAGTCACTGTGTTTCTGGTGCAGAATTAGGTTTGTAATCCAGAGGTTTTCTTGTTACCAACTGACTAAGCCATGCAGTCCTCAAGGAAAACTGCAAAATTATTAGTCTTGCCACATGACTGTTTCATGTACAGTAAAACCTGTGTTATCTGGCATGCTCGGTGATTAGGGTGTTCTGGTAATCTTAAATATTCCAGTTATCTGATGATCCCATCAACCTAGGAAAAACCAATGGACAACGATAGTAAAACTCAAGTTTTGGATATCTACCAATGTAAACTATATTGTAATCAACATAAACACAATGCCAAGGATGTATGGGACAATTGAACAAGTATTTTATTAAAAAGAAACAGTACTGTAATTATTATAAGGCACAGTAACATAAATTAAAACTAAAAATTTAGTCATTCTCTGGATCCAAATCACTGCCTGGCCCAGTTCCCAGCTGGCCAGATCAAAGCGCCGCACTGTGTGGCTGCGCCTGGCTCCCGGCCAGCTGGATTAAAGCACTGCGCCCTGCAGCTGTGCCAAGCTCCTTGGAAATTTGTTGGTTTCTAAAGTTTTCCGGATAGTTAAGTGCCGGATAGCGCAGGTTTTACTGTGTAGAGATTTGATTTTTCATAAGTAAATGGGCCCTTCAGAAAGAAGTTGTGATGTGGGATCACCCTTTCTTTTTGTCTCAGACACGAGAAAATGGC